GGGAGAGGAGGGGGGACTGCTTTCCTCATCCTTACTATCGTCAATACCTCTACTTCTTTTGCACGTTTATCACTCCTTTGTTCATCCACTGCTATTTCTGGGGTGCCTTGATAGTCGAAACAGACTTGGTGCTGTTGAGGTCAGAGAGGTGAGCAGAGTAAGCCTGATTCCCCGTTCGGACTTCTCTGTTGATATCCACCCCTTGGCGCTCATATTGTGACCTTATGCAGTTGCGAGCGCCGTAAAACCTTGCTCTTTTTTTTTTTTTTAAAGCGTTTTGACCATGACCTAGACGGTCAGAGAGATCATGACCATGACTTATCCGTTTCGCATCAGTGCCCACACAGCTGAACGCACACGGGTTAGCCACCGACCACAAGGCGCTAATAATAGTCTAAGTTGTAAGATAGACGCTTGTATCGCCGACCACAATGGTCAATGTGCGGTATGAGGAATTAGTTATCTGAAGTGTGATGAATGTGTGTGTATGGGGGGGGGGGGTGTTGTAGAATTGTAAACAAAGAGAGAGCCCCTTTGGATACAAATGAGTTTATTATAAAACTCGAAAGAAAAGAGAAAAGAACCCCGTGACGTTGGATTCGTTAATCTTTGTTGTGTGCTGTAGAGAGATGACGACGCGTGAATTGTTGCTTGATGCCCACAGGCCGTGTTGGCTGTCGCGTTTTTCTAGCAAAGAGGGGTTTGCGTTTTGCATTATAAACACACACACACACACACACACACACACACACACACACACACACACACACACACACTGTTTGCATCAATGCACAGAGAGAGTGAGACAGAGACAGAGAGAGAGAGGAAGAACGGTAGAAATAAAACCTTGTTGCCTGATAGCTAACGTCATTGATGACTGTCACGTTTTTCTGGTTCTCATGTTGCTTGAACAGCAGGTGTATGTGATGTATTTGTTGGTGTGTGTGTGTGTGTGTGTGTGTGTGTGTGTGTGTGTGTGTGTGTGTGTGTGTGTGTGTGTG